TTAGCCAGGTATACCCCTCTGGCATTTCAACAGGCCCCCAGCACCAGCGGCAACACCCTTCTTCTTGGGGGCAGCCCTGTGCGACTTCATCTTCTTTTTACCGGGGGCTATTCTCAGAGGCTTCGGGTCCAGCGGCCTGGAGGTACTAGGCTCACCACAGTCAGTCCGAGGGGGCGGCACAACAACAGTAACCGTCATCGCCTCCTTTTGGGCTTCATCCTCCGCCACCTGATACGCGAGGGCTAATTCTTCATCTTCGCACTCCTGTTCGAAGCCCTCGGCTTCCACTTCAGCAGCGAGGGCCTTCTGCAACTCCAGGGCTACGGCTTCGTCATCAGCAACCGAGGGCGCACTGCTACTTGACTCAACATCGGAAGCAACCTCGTCCTCAACCGAGGGCCCCCTCGATATATTCTGCGAGTCGCTTTGGGATGACATCCTTGCTGTACTTAGGCTAAGTTTCCTAAATCGAGGGCTCTCTACAAGGCTATAACACCTAACCTAAGGCCAGGGAGCAAAAGCTAACGAAAAATGGTGAGGAGCGAAGGGAGAACTAACCTCTGAAAGTGCTATGACCGAGGGCTTGAGTTTCTCTCTCTAGAATTTTTGGCAGAGCTTCGCTAAGGATTTTGGACGCGTAAGGAAGAAATGGCTCTGGCTCCGGGGTATTTATAGACCCCAGAGTCCGGGCTTGGGCCCGAAAACTGGGCCTCCAGATGGACGCCATCATTACACACCGCGTCTTCACCCAACCGGTGATGCCGCCACGGACAGCCAGCCATCATACGCCACGTGTACCCCCCCAACGGCTATAAACCTGACGTTACATATTCCAACGGCTATATTTCCAACGGCTATATTCTGGAAGCCCCCGGATTTTCTACTTCACTCCACTTCATCAAGGAGAGCCTCCGGGTACACTTACCCAGAAGCGCCCCCGGGTTGTGCCCCACACAGCACATAACAGACGCCTTCGGGATCACTCCTTCAGAAACCCACGGCTTCATATCAGGGCACCCCTTGGGGATTCCCCCTCAGCACTGTAAGAATCAGGTAGCCCCCGGGGAATTGCCTCATTGACGGATAACCCATGGCACACAGGTAATGGGAGCCCTCGGGTATCTTCATCACCAACTAATCAACAAACAGTGGATCCCCCGGTAACAACTCCATTGCTGCCCTCATCCAGCAGGCCCTCGATCCCCGGATTGAGGGGCTCCCCTTCGGCACCCCCAGGATATCAACAGCAAGCCTACGGCTAATCAACACATGAGCCCCCAGAAAAAGAAGAGCCTTCGGCATTACCGTTATTCTCCATTTTTGACCAAGGTTTGACATTTTCGATTCATCATTGGGGGAATTCGGTGCACTCTTTTTCCCTCATTAGGATTTTCCCCCCAGGGTTTTTCCTAATGAGGTTTTTAACGAGGCATCCCCCCAAAATGAAACGAAAAGCGTCAGCCTTCGGCCCACAACAGCAACGCAACTACTCTACTCCTTTTCACCACTTTACAAGTGCCTCAAGGAGTGGGGGACTGGAGGACCCCCTCGGGAAAATCATTAAATTACAAAATTAGTGAAATTCCAACAAACGACAAAGCAAGCCCTCAAGTCCCGACATGTGGGTAACTGAGGGACTGCCTTCGGCAGGGACATAAAAGCAACAACTTCTCACCAACTTCAGAGATCACGACAGGACAACATCAAAGGGCAAGCACAAATTACTCATTTTCCCTCAAGTACCTTTCGGCAAAAGGAGTGAGGGACTCCTGATGGAGTATATGGCCCGGGAACCCCCGGCCCACAGACTCCTACTACACCAATGAAGGCCCAACAGGCCCAGGAGGCCCACCAGGCCCAAATCACAGCGCCCAGAGTACCAAGCAGCCCGCACTGCGCGCCAGGAGTGCCTTCGGCCCCCTGGCCGAAGGCTCTAAACTCTCACAGAACGGGTTTCTCAAGCAAATTTAGAAACTGGGAGAAAACGGCGAAAACAGTAGCCCTCGGCACTATGAGCCCTCGGCACCAGGGTGCCGTCGGTTGGAGGAGCCCTCGGCTACTGCTCTATAGCCGAAGGCATCTCACTCGACAAGATATCCGCCTCACATGCGTGCAGATCACCGTACCCTGCACAAACGTCCCATCCAACAGCCGCATTAAATGCGGCCACATGCGGCTGCCAGCGCCAACCAGTTGAGGTGACCCCTCGGCCAATGAGCGCTTGACACGTGTCCCTGTCCGGCATTTATTGCTACTATAAATAGCAACCCATTTCCCCATTTGTAACCACGCTGAAAACACGGCATTCATACTGAGTACACTCTCTCTCTACATTTACTTGTTTACTCTGACTTCTCTCTAAGTTATTCCCCGCAATAACCCTTCGGATATATACCCCCGGGTAGACTATCCATCACATACCATATTTGAATATGCGACATCCATCTTATAGGTGTCAATATTGTGGAACTACTTTTTGGTACAATTAATTGTTAAGGTCCTGCTGTAAGTTGAAAAATTTGAAGTCACTAGTACAAAAAGGTTTTTTCGCATCACCTTATATACATTTGTTATTTCAAAACCCATGTGAAATACTAACACGGGGTCTTTTTATAATTTTTATAAACTTTTTTACATTGGTTTTTGTTATAACCGATGTTAAATAGTTTTTAATATATTATTCCTCGTGTCGATCATACTTGGTTAGGTTTTGAGTGAGTAGGATGGAGTGTTTTTCAGTATCCAATTTGTAACATTGAAATCGGTTAAATGGGTTGAATCTATTGAAACTCATGAAAGTCTAGCTGAACTGGCCCAACTTCACTAATTTACTAATTTGCGGAATTATTGTATTTAAATATAGTTTAATGATAAAGAAACAAAAAATCTTACGAAAAATAGCTACAATATTATTTTTATAGTAACTACAGTCAATTCAATTGCAAAAATAACTTAAAACTCATTGATTTAGATTATTATATAGTTCAACGAGCAAAATAAAAAGTTATTTGTCTGATAGACAAAAATGACTGTTGGATTAAAATATTAGTTATCAAACAAACTCTTAATAGCTTTAAACTGGAAAGTAAATATTAAAGTTAGTAATAAAATTTTAAAACTAATATATTTAGATTTCATAAATTAATCTAGAAGTTAACTTACGTGTAAATTTCTCTCACACCAATAAACATTGAATTTCTAAAAAAATCTTAAAAATTGTTTCAGCCACAGTTTATTATTTTATATACATCATATATAATTAATCTTAAAATTTAATGTTCATTATAACTATCATTTGCTTACATTAACTATTATTTGTCAAAAAATGTTGTACCATAGGTATTCATTTAATTGAATTTAAAAAAATGTCTACTTGAATTTCAATTTTATTTAAAATATTTGGAACATGTGAAAGAAAATCGTGCAAGGTTAGAAAAAACATTTAAGCACTCTGTTACCATGTGCATAATTGACGATGAATATTGATCAATACGGTGCTGAATGTTTCCCCATTGTTGCTAACAATGATATACTTCATATTACACATATTCTATACATCAATATTTAAATTTCATGTTATGTGGAATAGAGATATTTGTGTCGTTCAATCAACACAAAAATCACATTCAATTTGCAAAATATATGTAAACTAAAAATTACGTCTTTCAACAGCTTCTTCTTCACATGTTATGACTATTAGAAAATGTTATAAATCTGATTATAACATAAAGGCTTATATGTGGCACTAACCCATAAGTTAATTAGTGTCTTCTCTCTTCTCACAATTCTATCTTTTCAAATGACATTTTCTCGTTATAATGAGACGTACACGCCTCAAATATCATACCTCTATTTCAAAATATGACTATGTTTCGCAACAATACACCATTGTTTATACATTCCATATTTGAATATGGGACATCCATCTTACAGGTGTCAACGTTGTGGAGATACTTTTTGGTACAATGAATTGTTAAGGTCCCACTGTAAGTTGAAAAATCTGAAGGAATATTTGTATTGTGTTCAATGTAAAAATAAAGTTTTCACCGATGAAAAGACTTTCACAAATCAAGCTTGAATTGATTATAAGTATTATTTAATCGAATAGACAAATCTTTATGAAAAACATAATTTAAACCGCCGAACTTCAACTAATTCTTTCAACATATTTAATAAAAACTACCCCAAATAATTATAATCCCATTTTATATATTCACATTGCATTTCCGATGCGGGTAAGCCCTCTCGAAACATGAACTCAAAACATGACATGCACGTCAATGATGGAAATGCAAGTTGGCCAACAAAAAGAAAAGGATTGGGGCAAATGGATAATGATCAACGGTATGAACCTAAAAAGTCCTCCAAAGAAAATGTAGAATTAAATAAGACCAATATTAGAAACACATAAAGTAAACATTCTAGAATGACACATTCACCGTGTGATGAAGAGTTTATACTCATAAAACACGGCCATATCACGTGTCAACAGGCATGGACCGAGCCCGGGCCGAGTCAAGCCGGGATTTTTTCCAGGATGTTGGGCCCGGAACCAACCCGGGTTGATACCGGGTCCGGACCAAACCGGATCAGGCCGATCCGAGCCCAGTTCAAGGTAATTTTCTTTTTTTTTGGCTTTGTAATTAACCACCGACCCACCTCCCTGACCCCCACCCCCAAATCCAAACCCCCCAAAACACCCAGCCCTACCCAAGGAAAAGAAAAAAAAATTGAAAAAAAAAAATGAATCGAGCCCGACCCGGACCGCCCGGTTCATGAAAATCAAGGCCCGAGCCTGGCCCGACCTGCCCAAACCGGGCTAAAGCCCGGAACCGGTCATCCGGGCCCGGTCCAATCCAGGCCCGCACAGTAGCGGGCCGGTCCGGTTCCTGGGCCGGTTCGAACCGGTTGGGTCCATCCCTACGTGTGAATGCCTCTCTTGGATACGGTAAAGCTAGAACTTTACCGATTGTTCTTACACATTAGCTTGACAAGTAAAACCAAGAAATCTAAATATTTGCCCTTAAAAAATAACATTGCCATATTCCACGTTGCATTTCTGAAAGTAACTGCGAACGAACTAAATTATTACTCTGCTTTTTAGCAAACAGAAAAAAAAAACGTGTGGCATTTCCGGGGATTCAAACATATTGAGGTTTAAAGATATAGTGAACAGAAGCTTAGTTAGCTAAGGACGAAAAATGATAGTGAACGTAAGAATTATGTCCTCTTCATATGTCTGTCAAATCAATCACAAGCCTCCTCCCAGTTATCCAATACATCCTGAGCAGCAATTACTTCAGCACTGTTGCCTTCATGCTGTTGTGGTATCACCTGCAAACCCAAACCATGTTCTACGGTTTCAAGCTTTGCTTCAGACTTGTCCAAAGAGCATTTCTTTACCATCACGTCTGATAGAGCAGACGGACTTGGAGTGGTTTCCGAAGATTCCACCAGAGCACACCACCGGTTGTTTGATGGTGGAGGAGCGAGTGCAGATGACGATGCTTCTTTCCCCTTCTTACAAGCTGAAGAGGGAGGTTCCGCTTGAAAAGAAGTGCTAGTGGTCAAGATCTCCTCCTCAGGTCCCCAACTCGGGTCCAGCTCCTGGACTACGACCGTCTTTTTCCATGCATTTTTATTACTATTAGCAGCAACGTCCTTACTCACGCCAGACACTCCCCAAGCATTGGAAACACCACCACCACCATGAGTAGGAGGAACAGCTATGACCGCAGCACCGCTAAAAGCAGAGCCCTGATCCAACCTTCTCATAGCAGCTGCAGCTCGTGCAGGTTCGCTGAAGACTGCCAATGCATTTTTATCATTCAGCCACACAAGCTCACATTCCCCACCAAACCTCAGCACCAATGCACTTATATCCGCATCTCTGGGCAAGTCGAACAGGGCAACAACCAGCCTAGGATCCATGTCTACCAAGGGGTCGCATATTGAGGGCTGTAAATTGGCTGTGGTCCCCTTAGAGCCGCCCAGCATACGAGCAGGTGGTTTGGACTTGGGTGTGGCGTGTACGACCACAAACCGCTTAGGCTCCCGACCCACAGAATTGATAGAGAGCTTCCACCTTTCAGCTATCATTCTGACTGCATCCCGCTTCTCTTTCATCATTGGGCAAAATACGTGAGCTTTGACACCTGTTCCTCCACTTCTTCCCTTGCCGCAAAGGACCAGAAACTTGCACCTTTCTTCCACAGAGAGGACCCATTTGGAGTCGCGTCTAAGAAGGTCTGTGAGCACTTCAGAGACAGCAGCAGCATTATCGCCGAAATGAAGTGTTGTGTCTGAAAGTGAGGTGTTCACACCAAAAGCGTCAGCTAGGACCTTCTTCTTCTCCATCTTTGCACACTCATCGTCACACATTAGCTTCCTCTGACCAAGTGGAACCTTCTTTCCATTTGAGTCAATAGGTTGGAGAGGTGCCGGCAACTTCTGTAATATTGATGCTTCAAAAACACTGTCAAAAGCAGTATTGGCACCACCCGCATCACAGGGAACGGTTGCACTTAACCGGTGACAAGAACAGAAAATTTTGACAGGATGTTCACATTTAGTGTCAGGACATGGGGACGATGGGTGGCAAAGAGCAACACAAGTGTGCCTACAATCTCTCCTAGGAGCACCACATGGTTGACCACAAGAAGCTCTTGGATCACCACCAGCACTTGCCAGTAAAGCAGGAGAAGAATCACAAGGTGGGGGGTGACATGTTCTGTCACATGCATGCAAGCCACACTGCCTGGCCTTCCCACAGGGCTTGATACATCTGATGTCTTTCGATCCACATGGTACATTCCAAAGAACCACATGCCCACCGATGCACTCCTTTGCTATTGGAACGGAGCACGGTGGACAGTCCCCAAAGTGACAGCTGTGAGTGGATGAATGGCCACAGGGCTGAGGAAGAGAGCATGGGTACTGGCATGAAGGGGAGGGTGTGCCACATGGCGAAGGAGGGGGTATTGAGGTCCTCCCACAAGCACAGGTCAAATCATTGAAAATGGTCTCAAGACAGGGAGGACAATGACCACTGTGGCAGAGGGACTCACAAGAATGCTGCCCACATCTTAGTTTTTTGCCACAAAGCATCGAACAGAAGTGTAGGTCTCTATCACCAGTCTGGGTATTGTTGGGAGGATTGGATGAAAGAGGGCAACACCGCTCACTGCATCGGTGCCTTCCGCAACTCTTCTTATGCCCACAAGGCCTATCACAAGTAAATGAATCATCTTCTGCAAACATTCTGTAACACTCCACGGTACGAGAAGTTGATCCACAACGGCATCGTTGAATCACAGGCACATGACATGGTGCACAATCGCCAGAATGACACACTTCTCGACATCGGTGTACCCCACAACGGAGGGTTTTGTCACAAATTTCTGAACAAGTTGGGATTGGATCCAAACAACTGTTTCTCGCTTCTGTTAGGCTAGTTTTGCCACAGCAACAGGTCTTAACCATGTCGGGCGACAAAGCACAATTCCCACACGGGCCTGGGTGGCAAATTTCCTGACAAGCATGGTTTCCACAGCTAAGCTTTTTATCACAACGTGAACTGCATGCAAAGACACCATGTTCAACATTGATCTCTCCCTTCACTGCCATGTCACCACAAAGAACAACCTCAGTCTTCTTTTTGCAGAAGCAGGATGCACTGACCAGAACTTGGCAATGGTCACAAGAACCAACATGGCAAGTTTGTTCACACCGGTGGCGACCACAACTAAGAAGCTTGTTACACCGTTGTCCACAGGTAAGAACAGACTTCCTTTCAGAGCATCTTGTAGTGATCCTTTTCCTTCCACATGGACAGCTTCGTGGAGGAGCAAATGCCTTACAAGGAGGGCATGGTCCAGGATGGCACTGCAGGACACAATGATGAGGGCAAAGATCCTCCTTGTTCAAACCACCAGAACCAGGAATAACGTCCTTCTCCAGTGGCTTACCACAAGGCTCCCCACAAGAATGTGGAGTCAAATACAGATCAGAAGGGGGGTCCTGCCTTTTCCCACAAAAGCACATATAACGGATGTCCCCAAAAGAGGTGAGTTGCACATGTTGGCAACCTGGGCACCGCCAATTAAGCCCCTGATTCTTCTCAGCTGATAAATCAACGGATGTAGGAGCTCTGGCCCATCTCTTGGTACAGCTCAAGTGAAAGATTGAGAAACAGCTAGAGCATGACCAGATTGGTGCAGATCTACGAACCATATCATAACAAATCATGCACTCAACTGTTCCTTTCAAGAGCTTCTCCTGAATTTCTTGTACAAGTTGAGGCAAGTTAGGGTCCTTTGACTGTTGCTCCTTTTCATTGTTTTGGTCTGGCCGCCTCGCGCTTTCCACTTTATTTCCCTCAAACTTGTTTGTTTGCCTTCCCATCCCTCTATCTCTCCTTTGGTTTGCATATTTAGGGGCATTTCCTCGATGAACATTATTGTTCCTACCCCAATAAACTTTAGGAACGGACGGCCTGTCACTCAGTTCCCTGCCAATCCCAACTGAGCTCAAATCATCGGCAGCAGCAGGGTTTTCCATTGGTGTGGTCGAAGTGGTGGATGGGGATCCTCGACGAACCCACTCCTGTCTAGCAGTTTGACCATGATAGTTTCTACCCCTGCGGCTATTATCTGACCTGTGATTACTTTGAGGCGAAAAACTCATATTCCTATATGAAAACTCAGAACACCGAATATCGCTCTCCGAAGCAATCCTGTCACTTGACCACCCACCAGGACCCAAAACCCTAGACTCGATGCCCTCAACTGTAAAACAAACAGGGAAATGAAGGGATTTTAATACCTAAAGAATCATTTCGGCAAACAAAATCAGCTATTAATCAAGTAAAGAGTAATTATATATAGACAGAAAAATCCCACCCAGAGAGACATCGTTTTTCTTTAAAAGGAAAAATGCCAATCTCAAACCCTAACCCTGTTTTAATGCCAACGAAATGCATCACACATACTTTTAAAGAACACCCACAATCATAACCGCAAATATAAGAAAGAAAGGAGCACCTGAAATCGAATCAGAAGCTCTTGGCACAGATATTTTCCTCTTTTGTTGACAAAACGTCAATTGCGAATTGGTGCTTACGGTTTTTTTCTTCCGCTTTCTACCACACAGTGGATTCCTTCTTCCAGGGAAAGGGCGAGGAGAAAGCAAGATGTTTGCAGCTGTGAGGGATTTTATAGGTCGAGATAGAAATGAGATCCTATTTGACCGTTTATGGAAAACCTGCTAATCTGCTATACGTCTTTAACTCTTAAGGCGGTGCTCTTATATTAAATTAAACGTGTCAACCAAGCAAAAAATAGGAAAGGATGTGAGAGGTAGTTTGAGCTATACTCCCTAATTTTGTGACTTGTTTGTGACAAAATTTGAAGAAAAAATTATTTTATCACAAATGATTCATACGAGTAGTAAAAATGGATAACAATATCTGGACAAATTATATCGTGGATTCGGCCCACCCTTCTCATGATCTCATTTTAAAGGAAGTTACGTTTTTTTCTTTTTTGCTCTTCCCTTGCCTAGAGCTTCGCTATTTCATTTTCCTTTGTTTTTCTTTATTTATCTTTCTTCTGTTCAATTCTTTTCCTTTTCTATCAAATTAATATACTAAAGATTTAATTATAATCTTACTTTTCTTTATCTTCATCTTAAATTATAATTAAATCAATTTTTTTATTCTTTATCAATACATAACAAAAAGTTTATTAATCTAAATAAAATAATTATATTGCATTTCATATTCATAAACTATTTTTATTTCTGTAATGTTTTTTATATTCATACACTTTTTTGTAATATATTTTATATGTATAAACTTTTTATATAATATATACACACTTTTTCTATAATATGTGTGTATTCTCTTTTATATGTTTTTAGAGGTTTTTAAGACATTGAATTTGCTTATTTTGATTCTTGAAGTTACATTTGATAATATATCATGAAGTTACATTTTTTATGAGCAAGTTACATCTTGTATTCTTGTTATGCTTAAATTACATTTTGTTATGCGTGAGTTCCATATTTTTATACGCGAGTTACATCTAATTATTTGTGATTTTTCACATAATAATTATTTTTATCTTTATCTTTAACTAATTAAATTAAAACTGATTTATTTTTTCTCTACCAATTTATTACAAAATTTTATTAATTCACATAAAATAAGTATATTGTATTTAATAATCGTACACTATTTTTTCTTTTTTGCTTCAACTAAAATTACTAACGAATTTATGTTTTGTGTAATTTTTTTACATTTATAAATGTTTTTGTAAAATATTTTTTTTATTCATACACTTTTTTCTATAATATATTTCAAATCTCGTTTATATGTTTTTTGTCTTTTAAAGACATTAAGTTTGAAAACAATGAGATTATACTCAATGCTAGAAGTACAAACACACTTACAAAAAAACTTACAAACAAGTGATGTGGTTATTCTAATTACCATTGATGTAAAAGTGTTGTAAATGTGATGTGATATGTTAAATAATGAGATGATGACACATTCCCCTTTTGTAAGACTTTTTGTAAAAGTGTTTGTACCTCTAGCATAACTCTTTCATATGTGTGAGTTATGTTTATAGTCAATTTGTATAGTTACATTTGGTATTATACGGAGTTACGTCTTTTTATGAACGAATTACATATTCTTGTGCGTGAGTTAGATCTTTCTATACGCGATCTACATTTGGACTTAGCTTGTCTCAACAAGTTACATTTTACATACACCAAATTTAGTTTTTCCATCAACGTGAGTTACATTTTTCATAACACGACTTACATAACAACATAAAGCCCTGCTATTGAAACAAAAGAATCATTTTTTTGCAAAAAAAAATGGCCAAAAATATTTCTTTAGCAAAAAAGTGATTTTTTAAAAAACATTTTTAGGGACTTAATATTAAAAATAGATCAAATTCACTATTTAAGTAAACCCCTGGTAACTTAATATTAAAAATAGATCATATTCACTATTTAAGTAAATCCCTGATATTGAAACAAACAAAAAACACTTTTTAAAAAATGAATTTTTTGGCGAAAAAAATGAGTTTTTTTGTCAAAAAATGTGATTTTATGAAGAAAACAAACATTGTTTATGTCCTTAATATTGACGAAAAACATATTCACTATTTACGTAAAGTAACTAAGCAATTAGATTCTTGTTTTCATAGAAATCATTGTTTTATTTCCTATAGTCTGTATTAGACAAATTAGATTTGGACTCGCATGTTGTTACATTTGTTATCAGCGTGAGTTACATTTCTTTACACGCGAGTTACATAATTCAGCTACTGAACAATGAAAAAAAATGTTCACCCGCGTGAACAGTAACACGTGTTTTTCCTGTGGAAGCAGCATGCTCACGGTGGGCTGCTCCCACGGTATACCGACTGCAATATCTGTAGTACAAACAAAATTAGGACGTCTACACATGGGCCATGTGCGCAAATCACCTTTGTTTGGTTAATAGGTTACTATTTTATTTTGGTGTTTTAGTTTTTATTTCTCAATATCTATACTAATTTGACTTTCACACTTATCAATGTATGAATTTAATCATTAATATACGTAATTATAATATACTAGTTTTTCACTCGTGTCTTGTGCAACATCAAACCAAACAATCACTCATTACGTCATTCAATTATCTCTATACTCGCATAATATTTTTTTTATCACCAAAACAACTTTCCATTAAAATGGAGCAAACATTATGCAAGACCAAATCCAGACAGATATTACAGATCCGATCGTAAGTCCTAGGAATAGATTTAGAATCAGCCACCCATACAAAGCAACCTGATTCGCTAGACACAAAACGAGCATGAGGAAGCCTAAAACGACCGAAAATAAAACACTCCCTGAAAAGAGTTCATCAAAAATAAAAAATACTCCGACCATACCTGCTTGAACTGAAATAAAAATAAGCACTGCGAAAGGAAAAACAATACGAAAATAAAATCTTTCCCCAAATTACTTCCTCGCAAAGGATGTGGTTCCGGAGGAGGGCGAGCTGTTGTAGTATGGTAGAAGAGAATATGAACCTCCAGAAAATTCGTCTGAGAACCTATCATGCCTAGCACCGGAAGGATCGCCTTCCAATCGCTCGCCACGGTTTTGCCTCCATCGTCATCGTCGAAGATCAATCCTTCGTTGTCCTCGTCGATTGCTATCTGTTTGTACTGGTGCACCACACTCGACCAAAATGGTGAGCACCACAACACTTCCCACCGTTGAGGGAGAAAAACAAAACCGAAAAAGACCGGACAGGCCACAAAATGCAAGAAGGAAAGAAACGTCAAGAGATGCTGATAATGCCGTCACAAGAATTGACCGTCGTTGTAATCGCCATCAAAGAAAACTTGGTGTGGCCATGAGGTTTGGGAGTGGTGACCTATACTCGCATAATATGATAAATTTGGAGAACTAATATTGTATATCAAATTGACACATTTCAAAGAGATTTTAAAAATATCCCACTTTCATTCAACTTCAATGGGTTTTGATGTATTTTTTCAATTACATAGAAATAATACGACAAACGTCATCTAATAATAGGACTCTTAGCTATCCTCACTTAGGATTATAATGGATTAATAAACCTTGGTAGCACTCAAAGGTCCTCAATGTGGAAAAGGAATCCGTCTAAATTCATTGTCCTAAAAATTCAATGTTTTGTTTACTCTAAGAGGAATTGAAAATTAATATGAAGAAAAAAATCTAATAAAATTTGTGTATAAAATGTTTTTTATGTATAGTAGTGGAAAAATATACTCAAATGAGAGTTTTGATTATAAACGAGTTTTTTCAAATATAAACAAGTGTCATACATAATCACAATGAATAACATTTTTAAGACTTCAGTTAGGAAACAAGCAACTATCACCTAAATTGCATTCTCAATTGAGATATAGTTTACAATTTGCCTTCTTCCATTCTCAGAAACCATGATCCAAACATGCACTTAGAAGAAGTGAGATCATATTTGACCCAATTTCAAGTATTTGGGAAAACAAGAGTTTGATTGCAGTCAAAGTTTTTGGCCTAGCCTCTTGTCATATTGAGATATTGACAATCTCTTCTATTTAAATCTGATCTTGCCATATTATTTGATCTCATTTCTTCTAAGCGCATGTTTGTATCATGGTAATTGAGAATTGAAGAAGGTAAATTGTAAACTACATCTCAATAAAGAATGCAATTTAAGTGATAGTTGCTTGTTTCCTAACTAAATTCTTAAACATGTTATTCATTGTGATTGTATATGACGCTTGTTTATATTTGAAAAAACTCGTTTATACGCAAAACACTCATTTGAGCATTTAGATGAATCATGACAAGTATTTAAATAATAAAATATATCATACGTTGAAATTATAATTAAATATGTCGTACGTTAAAATTATAATGTACTTATTTGAGCATTTAAAATTGATTTTCATGAATGAAAGGTCAATTTTAATACTGTACTCATAATTTTTGTTGGAAAAATGTGTTAGAAATTGCATTAAATGATCATTTTGGGGCAATTATTTGAGTGGGGTCCACTTCCGATTTGGGTCGGGTCAAAGTGGTTTCGGATTGTCCTTGTTAAGGGCTACAATTCGATATATGGTACGCTCAAAACGGATAACGGGTGAATGAGAAATTGATTCTCGAAGTTCGCTCGTTGAAATGGAAAAACTGGGAAAATGATGAGTTTCTAGTGTGTTTTATCCCACACCGAAAAACTCAAGGGATTTTCACCCCCTTATAAAGGGAAGCCTCTTTTAAGGAGTTAAGATTCCTAAAGGGAAAGGCTCTCTCTTACGCGCAGGGGGGGGTGCCGATCAAATCTCCGAAACGGAGAAGAAAAACCGCGACTCGTGTGCGCGGGCGACCTGCGGACACGAATGCCGTCCAAAAATCTATCTCTCAAGAGATACGGTTCTTCATACTTGGTTCTCGTTCGCTGGAACTCTTGTTTGTGTGCTCAAACATTAGTTCGTAGTCATCGTATCCTGGGAAACGATTGTTGCAACGCTCCTAGCACCGTGGGAGGCAACAAATACGTTTTAAGGAAATCGTGCGTAGCACGAGCTTTGGCTAATTCTGCTTCATCTCCTTTCTTGTTTTTCTCTAGTCATTTTATTTAATTAATTTATTTTAATTAATTTTCTTTATTTTCCGAAACACACCCAACAATCTTAAAACATATTTGCCTTGGTTGTTGTACTGCGGTAAACAATCTAAAAACGTAGTTTGTCACTTTGGTGAACGAACTTAATTTTTGTG